AAAAATGTTAGGGAGCAATGAATTTGTTCATGATGGGAAATTAAAAATAGGCTGGGTAAGAATGTTTGCATAATTTAAAGACTAGAATCAATGCCTGAATTATATAGAAATTACCAGGGTTTTTTTAAAATTATTATTATCAACAACAAAAATTTAGCAATTCTGTCATAGAAACAGAACTTTATCTATAGTACAAAACTTCTTTCAACTACTTTTTTTAGTAGGTCTTAGATTAGGCCTGAAGTGCTATTGAGTCTGCTTCATAGTGATCTTATAGGACAGACGAGAAGTGCCTGTCAGTGTCCCAAAGCTGTGCATCTTTATGAAGCAGACTGCTTCACCTGAGAAGCTGGTTGGTGTGAACCAGCCACCTTTGGGTTAGCAGCCAAATGTTCTGCACACAGCATTACCAGGACTCCTTTGTTAAACACACCAGGTTAATTCATTCTGAGTCTCCTGCCAATAGCCAGTGGAAAGCTCTGACCTTTGGACTAAATTCCTAACTGCCATTTACCAGCCACAAGGCCTTGAATGTCCTTATCTCAGTCAGTTTTTCATCATAAGGTTAAGAACACTTCAAGTCCACTAATTCAGGGAATTTTTTTATTAATTTTAATGAATAGACTTTGAATTTCCATTCATTCATTGCTCCATTTTTCTCCCTGCCCACCTCTCCCCCCAGTTTGCTCTTCTCTTTAAAAAGTAAAATTCTTTCACTGTTATACAATCCCTCCCCCCATATCCACTCCAGTAATGCAGCCTTCATTCTGGACTCCTGTCATCATAGTAATACCTAATCATATGTCCCTTTTAAACTGTTCTCTCCCTCATCTGTTTCAATCCAGTATACATTATTTATCCCCTTTCTGTCTCCTCTCAACCCTGATGTCAGTCCCGTTTTACAAGTGGCACTATGCAGTATTTGTCCTTTTGTGACTGAGATATTTCACTCAGTATACTGTCCTCCAGAATCACCCCTTTTGTGTATTTCGTGAGTTGTTTCTCAATGCAGCATAGTATATAATGTAGTATCGTATATTTACACAGTATATTATACTGTGTATATTACACAGTATATAACTGTGTAAATATACCAGATCTCCTCTATCCATTCATTTGTTGATGGGCACTTGTTTCCAACTCTTTGCTATTATGAACAAAGCTGCAGTAAACATGGGTGTGTATTCATTTGCTTGGGTGGCAGTTATGGTTTCTTTAGGGTATATTCCCAGTAGTGGAACTGCTGGGTCAAATGGTATTTCTATTTGCAACTTCTTGAGAAAGTGCCATACTGCCTTCCATTGTGATTTTACTGTCTACCTTCCTTGTGATTCTCAATAAATACCCAGAGAACTGCTGGCCTGGTTTTCACTCTCTGATCTTTATCATTCCTGGTAGTCTGTCTCATTATTAATAATTATAAAAATACTTTACCCTTGGTCTGCAATGGTTGGTTATCATCTCTGACTTCCCTCTGTTGAATACAGGTTGGAATGAACTAGATGGTACTGACACAAAGCTACAGTTCAAATCCACCAGCTGCTCTGCAAAATGATGGGCAATCTCCTGTGATTCACTGCTGCAGTGTTACTTCGAGTTCTGACTCGAGTGTACACAACTACAAATTAGCAACATCATCTGAATTAAAATCCTAACACCAGCTGCTTAGGAGTCTAGTGAGGAAGGAGCTGTGCTGCCAAGCCACCCTGAGGGAGAAAGCTGGGCTGACTCGAGTGATTTGACTGGAGGGTAAGCTGAGTGGATTCCAGCTTGATAGTACTTAACAAAATTAGCTGCTACAGCTGGCTAAGTGTCACTGCTGTATGTGTTGAGTACCACAGAGGGGAATAAACCCACAGATGACCCTCCAGTGGATTTGCAGACACATTTAATTGCAAGGGAGGAGACTGCCTACCTTTCTCCCAAGGAACAGCTGGTAGATTTAAACCAAACCACATGCCTTTGGGATTGTGTCACAGCTTTTAACCAAATCAGTGATTAACCTTTCCTTTTCCTTAATTTGTTAAACTCAACAAGCTAGATGTTTAAGTGTCAGGGAAACGAAATCCTGATGATGCAACAAATGTTTGGCTACAAAGTAGATTTACTAGCTGGTGGTCTATGAAGATGCACAGCCTAATAAATCCTATGGGACAATTTAATCCTGTAGGGCCACTGACTTGACAGCACCATAATGTCACAAATAGTTAAACGTACAACCACCATACCATAGGTTGATAGTTCAAACCCATCTAAGGAACCTCAGAAGACAGTCCTGGCAACCTGCTTCTAAAAGGTCACAGATTTAAGTATTCTATTCTGCATACCAGGTCGCCAACAGCCAGATCTGCCTTCACAAGAACCAAGTACTGGTCATGTCTGATATGGATCATGATACATGGCAGATTATCATAGGGATTAATAACTGAAGTTAACATGTATCAAGCACTTGAAAGTACCTGACACAGCAGCAACGATAGGGCATAAAGTATCATATTTTAAAGAGCAGTATATAGAGTTGGGCTGCATATAGCTTCCTTACTCTCCTAAAATGACCTTGGTTAAGAATTCAGATGCTAACCAAAGACCCAGTGACTAAGATCCATCAGCGGCTCTATGGGGGAGAAACAAAAGCAATCTGCTCCAAAATTTAGCAACCCTATGAGCTGGAATCAAACAAAACTAATTTGTCATTGTCAGCGAATATAGCTTGCCTTGGACCTCTTTCCCCTCCAGGAAATTATGGTGCAGTAGTTTTCTTTAAAAGGGAGTTCTGGTGGCTTAGTGGTACAAAACTGTGCCAGCAATGCAAAGGTACACAATTCAAATCCACCAGGTGATTCATGGGAGAAAGATGAGCAAACCATGCTCCCCCCCCATTTACTGCCTCTGAAGACTCACTGGAGTGCCAGCTATGTGCAGGTTCTGACTGTGTGCAGGTATACAAGTTTTTAAAAAACTTGCACTATTCATATACACAAATTTTGCTATACCTTGTAAAGAAGCATTTAATAGATCCTATAATCTATAGATCCTATAATGTCTAAAGAACAGCATCAAAATAAGCTTGTTACATTTAAAAATTATTTACACTCTTAAACCACAAATTTAAACCACTGATTCCCCAAAGCATCAATTGTATATGAAAATATGTATCTATGAAAAGGAATCTACCTAGAAAACCCAGAATTCTCTGGATTACTAGAAGAGAGGTAACACAAACTACTTCAGAGAACCTTTTAATCATTAAAAACAAACCAGTAATTTACAGGGGTTTTTTTTATTTGGAAATGTTTGTATGAGTACAACAAAACTAAATTTGGAGACCGTACATATGAGTTTGGATATCATTAGTTTATTACAAAAGAGAGACATAGAGATTATTTACATGATGGAAGATTTCAGATGAACTTCAGTGGAATGGGCAGCTTCACATGATGCCATTTCAATAGTGATTTATTTCAGTCCACATACTTCCCAAGAATGTCACCATCTCTAAATAAGAAATAATCCTGTAAACAGAGAAACCATTAGAAAGAGAACAAAGTAACAGCAAACACAATCTTTGAATAATCTAGGAGTGGGCACAAGACAGACATGCACACTTGTGTGTGGAAAGGCAAATGAGACAATACCTCAGAATATAGTTGTTTGCCCAAAGATATTTCCACATATGTCTTAGTACATACATATGTAAAAGGTGAAAATAAAGATAGCTTATTAGAAAAAATACATCTCAGAGATTATTTGATTCCAAAATGGGCCAATCTCTGGAAGGAAAGAAATGGAAAAAAGATCTCTCTGTACATGCGGCAAAGAAACACACCTTTGAACAAAGCAGAGGAGACACGAGGCCAAACTGTAAGAACATTTTTGCCACAACACCTTGAGGAAGTAAGTTACTGGGCCTGGAGTCTCAGAATCATAGTATGGACATAAAGGACAAGTGGCTTGAACAGAGCCCCACAAAGACAGTATTCTACATCTTATTTTGGTCAGCAGTGACTGAGGTCTTAAAAGAGCAACCATGCCATGGTCCAAGTGGAAATACTGGTCTCTCCCCATTCCTGATCAGAGTGAAGAAAATCAAAGACATATCGAGGCAACTCATCCAAAGCACTAACGAACCCCGAAACCCCAGCCCTGAGGACTCTGAGACCAGAACAAAGAGATCATCATAGAGAGAAAACGCAAAGTAAAAGACCACCAGATTTACTAGGTTGGTGGAAACTGGGACCATAATCCTCTCCTCAGACCTAGATCTGAACACAGGCTCTGGCTGAATGGAAAACAAATTTTTCTATAAACCCTCAACCAAATCACAATAAAAGGAATTCTAAAGGGATAAAAAAAAGCATTGGTAGCAAATAAGCGCTTTTAAGAATTATTATAATCACTCACCTTGTCATCTATAACTACTTTGGTGCCCCCATATTCTGGAAGAAGAACTTTGTCTCCAACCTTCACACTGACGGGCTGAATTTCTCCACCCTAAAGAAAACAAAGATGTTTATTATCATTTCACCATACAGTTACAATTAATTCAGTATTTTCACTCAAATATGGTAAAATGCTGTAATTAGTTGGCTAACATTTTGTTTTTACAGAGTATGATACTCTAATTTTCTTTTTTAATTTTGTGTGCGTGTACCGTCAAATCAGATCTGACTGGTACAGGAGGATATTGCGCCTCCTTCTCCGGCAGAGCATCTGGTGGATTCGAACCGTGTTCCTCTGGGATTGCAGTGCAGCTTCTTGCCACTAGGCCACCAGAGCTCCCCGATACTCTAATTTTCTAACACATTGCTAGTTCTTTAGTCATCAGTATCACCATTAAAGAATTATACTTTAAAACAATGTATGTACTGCAATTTCAATTAAAACCCTGTCGCAGGTAAAAGCTCAAGGAGCTATACTGGAAAAGTTAACTTTAGCTAACTAAAGCCAACTTTAAAATCGTTAAATATTAATCTATTGATTATGTGAAATAACCAGGTTTTTAGGACGTACAAAATGATTGTATAACTTATTTCAACAAACACATGAGATGTTTTCCTCACTTTAGAACACACAAACTATCTTTGTAATTAATGTTATTTTCCTCCAAAGTACAGAAACTTCAAGAGATTAGGGTTGATGCAGTGTGTGCACATGCCCAGAATTTTGTTATACTTAGTTCAAGGTAAGTTCTTGCTAGAACTTTTTTTAAAAAAGTCTTTTTTGCTTTTGTGTGTGTGTGTGTGTGTGTGTGTGTGTGTGTACAGATCTGACTGGTACAGGAGATTGTCCCTCCTTCCCCAGCAGAGCATCTGGTGGATTCGAACGTGCGCCTCTGGGATTGCAATGCAGGTTCTTGCCAATAGGCCACCAGAACTCCTCTAGAACTTTTTCAAGAGGCAACTGAATAATGCAGTTAATGTATCTGACCTCAAGAGTATTTATTTTGCATCTGACGACACACTTAAAAGACCTAGCCAAAAGCTTAAGAGGATACCTAGAATATGAACAGGTCTTTTCAGAGACAGGCCAAATAAAAAAACGCAAATGGCTAAAGGATTAGAGCAATTTAATTTTTTTAGCTTCTTCAAATTCTTAAAATCACAGCATTTTAATTCCTCTGAAAACCAACAACCTATAAAATTAGTCTCATCAAAGAGCAGCTAAAAGGTGGCTGAACTAGTGTGTGCCTTTAAAATGACAAAATCTAGTTTAAGGGTGTTTTAATAAACCGTAATTTATTAACCACCCTTTCCCTACATAAATACCTTTAAGCCTTCATTTACCTTTCCTTTAGATCCGGATCCAACAGCTACTACTGTTGCTTGCAATACTTTTCCTTGAGATTTTTCTGGAAGCATAATGCCTCCTTTGGTTACAGTTTCAGCTGCACTCCGTTCCACCAATACTCGGTCAAAGAGGGGAAGAAACCTTCTAAAAGCCTGTCCTGCCTGTAAAGAGTATTTTCTATTTATAGCAAAAATCTCTCCAGTAAAAATAAATTCAACAATCACTTTCGAATGTTTCATCTCATATACAATGATTAATTAATTTCCCATTCCCAGCATCGGTCACTATTACTCTTGTGGTCATAACTATACTAGCTTTTAAGGACAACTAGTTAACTCCAAGGTCATATGTCTTCTTTCTCCAGGTTGTTCTGGGTATGTCCAGAAATTGGAATGGATCCTTCAACCTGGAGCCATGCTCTTCCTCCAAAAGATTACACACCCGCAAGGGTTCGTTAGAGAATTTACTTGGCCTCCCCGCGTGTCTGGGTTCCCGCCCCCTTCCCCACGCGCGGGATGCAGCGGCGCGCACGGATGGGAGGTGCACGGGGTTGGGAAGGCCCGTTAGGCCGTCGCCTTTCGGCTCCGGCGATTTCTCCTTGGAGGGGGTCCCCTCTCCCCAAGGTCTGGTAACTAAGTGACCCTTGCCCTTCGGTCAGGCCTCACATAGCTGTCCAATCTCCTCACGCAATTCAAGCTGACCCAGTCCCGCTCACCTTCAGCCCACGCGGGACTTACCATGATTCTGATCGTTGCAGCTTGCACCTTACTACAACTACTCCGCGGCAAAGAGAGACCCGCAAAACTGGCCCTCAAGACACGGGAACGTGGGCACAAGCCCGCTAGTGCGCAAGCGCGCGCGCCCGGCCCCGCCCCGCCTGGAGGGCGGCCGCAGCTGCGTGCGCAGTGATTGGGCCCGAGAGTGCTGTGCAGGCTGTGACGCGAGCGCAGGGAGGAGGAAGCAAGGAGAACCTCTTTCTAGTCTTTTCCAGGCCGCTCGAGAAGGTGAAAAAAAACTGAGTCCTTGGCCACTCTCCCGGAAATGACGCAACTTAACCCTTGACCTGCGGAGAGCGCAGCGCGCTCCGGAAAGTTCTGGAACGGAACGCGGCCCGGGAACTAGGCTAACGGGTGGGAGAGGGCAGAGCCCGCTAGCTGGGCCCTGCGCGGGTAGGGAGGGGCGGGGCCGAGGTGCACAGCCTACAGATTGCCGGGCCGGGCCGGGCCAGGGAGGGGGCGGCGCCGGCGGCCCACGTGGTGCGGCGGAGGGGGCCAGAGCAGGGGGAGGGGACACAGGCTCATTGCCGTGTGCGTCCTGCACTCTGTCCCTCACTCCTCGCTGACGGCCTTGCTTTCCGCGTGCACTCCCGCTCGCCGGCCGCCCTGCAGGTATGAGGCCGCTCTGCACCTTCTCTTCCTGACGCCGTCGATCGATACTCTGTGTTCCGGCCTGGGTGAGGCCGGCAGAACGAGAGCCGGTGCTTCCCTGCAGCGCTGCAGGCCCGCTCGGCTGGACTAGGCCGCACTGCTTCACGTGGGGTCTCAGCATAAGCGGTGCAGAGTTCGGGCCAGGCAGCACTCGGAGGAGGGCTTATTTGGGGGCGGTACTGGTAGAGGTTGGGGGGGTTGTGTTCACGGGTGAAAATCCCTCCGGGCGGGCTGCAGGGTTCCCGGGCTGGCGGCCGCTGCCGCGTGGGAACCACGTTTTGCCGCGGGAGCGGCGGGGGTACTGCGCCTCCACCCTTGACCTTGGTCGGGGCGTCCTGATGGAAAGAAGACACGTGGGGCTGCGCGGAATGGGCCTGGCCGCCGCCCACGCACGCATCGCGGCCTTGGTGGCCTTTCGGATACAGTAGCTCCGCGGAGATACATAAGGAAACTTCTTCCTGTACAGTTTTTGCAACATCAGGAATATTTTGCACTTACCCGGGCGCTCAGTTTATGACGTGCCTCCTTCTGGTGGATTTCGTTTTGCAGTTGGGCTTTTTGGTGTGGATTTGCTCTCCGAGCGATTTAGTGGGTGAAACATTAACTGGTTATCTGCGGCTGGGGTGGCTCGAGTTCTGAAGCTATTGCGCCCTTCCCTCGCTAGGGGAGGTTGAAACCTACCTTTTTTTATTATTATTATTATTTTTTTTTAAACCTACCCTTTCTTGGTGATTGTATGGGTGGCGTGTTTGTGCTGCAACGCAACTCGAGTAGTTTTAATACTCACCAGTTGGTTCTTTTTTTCCTTTGCAGAAATGCTCCGATTACCTGCAGTCCTTCGGCAGATGAGGCCAGTGTCTAGGGCCCTGGCTCCTCATTTAACTCGGGCTTATGCCAAAGATGTCAAATTTGGTGCTGATGCCCGAGCCTTAATGCTTCAAGGTGTAGACCTTTTAGCCGATGCTGTAGCTGTTACTATGGGGCCAAAGGTATCCATTAAACTGCTTCAGTCAAATTTTCAAAACTTGAGCAGTGTGTGATGTAATCCAGTGGTAATTCATAGGCCAAGGTGAAATCTTACACTCAGGATAAAACTGGTGTTGCTTGCATTCTTGGGTTAAATTCTGGATCCCGTCCCAATAGGGCCATCTATGGTGGGAAGAATTTAACTGTCTATCCAACTTAACGTGCTTGTTGGACCTATTTCACCCAATGTTTTTATGCATTTCCTGTTCCAAGCACGTTTATAGTGTAAGGAGATTTGGCTAATAAAATACTTTGAGGAGAGCTTTGATGTTGCACATAGAACAGTTCAAACATCAAAGTAATCCAGATTATAAAATGTGACCATTGGCATGTCCCTTGAAAGTAGCAAATTCAATAGGCAGCCAAAAGTATGCTAGAACTTATGTTTAAAGTTTATCGCAAAGTCTGGAAGAAGGATTACATTGTTCTCTTGATAAATTTTTAAACTAGTCGCACTGCTTTCAAAACTACAGTGCCCTACATACATTGTTTAAATAGTCTGAAGTTTTAATATAGTCTACCAATTTGATACAAACTTGTTTGGTGGGCTTCATTATTTAAGATACAGAGCTCTGGTGCCTAGTGGTAAGGGACTGTGTTGCCAACCCAAAAAGTGCGTGGTTCCAGTCCACCAGCTGCTCTGCAAAGGATAGATGGACAATCTCTTCAGTCTACTGCCTTTGAAATCCCAGTGAAAGGTCTACTGTGAGTGATTTCTGATGATGTGTAATGACAACATCATATAACATTTTAGTCCTTGGGATCTTTATTTCTATGATTACTTCATTCAAAATTGTGCACTTGGCTAAGAGGTCATTTATTAATTAAAATTTTTGAACTTGTTCTTGAGATTCATATTGCAGTATTGATGAAAATGACACATCATGTGCTGAAGTTTTCAAGTAATTATTAAGACAACTCAGTATGTTTTAATTTAAATCTTTAAAAGTAATCTGTCTCCTTTCTTTTCTGCAACTGTAGGGAAGAACAGTCATTATTGAACAGAGTTGGGGAAGTCCCAAAGTTACAAAAGATGGTGTAACTGTTGCAAAATCAATTGACTTGAAGGATAAATACAAAAATATTGGGGCCAAACTTGTTCAGGATGTTGCCAATAACACAAATGAAGAGGCTGGAGATGGTACTACCACAGCTACTGTACTGGCACGCTCTATTGCCAAGGAAGGCTTCGAGAAGATTAGCAAAGGTGCTAATCCAGTGGAAATCAGGAGAGGTAGGAATGTCTTTTATTCTCACCATGATGTTCTGGTTCCTTGGACCTAAGAAAGGTTCATTTCTCCTCTTTTCCTAAGAAATCTGAAGCTAACCAATATGTGAATTAGGTTGACCTCTGAGAAATTACTAGATATAAAATGGTTGAAATGTACTGTGTAGCTTGAAAATAATACATTGAGGTGAGCAGACAGGGAGATCACAGAGTTTTTATTTTGTCTTAGTTTAAATTTTGTTAAAGTGTCTGAAAATCTCTCCATGAGGTTTGTGATGGTATAGGCATAAATTTGTCTTTTTACATTTATTGGTTTACCAAGATTGGGTTTGCTATCTATAAAATGAAATTGGTTCTTTAGGTTGTGTTCTTGAGCAAGAACACTTCACAGTAAAAGAAGAAATGATTAATTTTTTTAGAATTGGCATCCCACAAAAACTAGGTCATCATATTGCATTGTTCAATGTTTAGGTAAATATTTTCACATTAAGATCAACTCATGACTAAATTATTAGGAAGTATTGAGTGTACTTCCTCGGAAGAGTCATTGTATGGCATATCTTACCATTTTTCCTTCAGTAACATTTTAGAATATTTAGGAGTGGATAGAGAGAATCAACACTAGTTCCCAGTGCTCACACCTGGGTTTGTGGCAGTTATAAATCCATGTATGCTAAAAAATAAGTATAACCATGACTAAATAATTTGGTAGTATGTAATTGTATATTAAATGAGAATAATCCAAATTTGCAATAATGTAACCACAAGACCTCTTTCTATAATCCTCTTTGTATACTTTGACTAAAGTGATCAGTATTGGGTATTGGGTAGCACAGTGGTTAAAGAATTCATCAGATTTAAAAATTGGTGGTTTGAACCCAAACCCTTATAATTGCTTCTGTAAAGATTTACAGCCTTGGTTGCTATGGGTCAAAATAAAGTGCATGATAGTAGCTTGGGATTGTACTGGGGACAGATAACTGGATATGGAATAACTTAATAATTGAAACTGTACAATTGACTTATTCCAGTTTTTGAAGTCAGAACTTTAAAAACTGGTGAGGAACTGCCTTTGATGTGTAAACATTCGTTTTTCAGGGCAAACTATCAGTTTTGTAATTAGGTACATAAGAACTAGTGTGAGAGCTGTGTGAGGCTATAAAATTTGCCATGATACGTGTTTTGAAATAATGATACTTTTCAACCAGGTGTGATGTTGGCTGTTGATGCTGTAATTGCTGAGCTTAAGAAGCAGTCTAAACCTGTGACAACTCCTGAAGAAATTGCTCAAGTAAGGGTTTTTCATAAGTTAGACTGAAAGCTAAAATGACAGAAACTCACCTCAGTGTCAGGAAAGCACCACCACTACAATTAGCCATATTAATATTTTCTTCTTAACTGCTGAAACATTTGGAAAGGATGTAGTGACCAGTAAAATACATGTATTACAAAATGTCTGACATTTCATAGACGTGAGAACATTAAAAAAAGTGAGATCATACAATTTTTATCTTATTTTGTAGCTAACAGGTTCATTATGTTGAAGCATATATTAGGACTTTTGACCTTTTGTGATTGGGTACTATTCATGTACTATTGATTATATATGTGTAACACCATTTTGTTTGTCTATTCATCTGTTGGGCATTTAGTCCATTCCAATTTGAAAATAATTTTGCTCTACTGAATGATGGTGTAATTTGAATTACAGTTTTTTTCCATAAGCGTAAAACTTATTTGTGTCTGTGTGAAAATGTAAGCTTATTGTCAGAGTACAACTTTTATAATTTTATGTGGTTATCAAGGAAAAAGTAACATAAGACAATGTAAGTAGTCCATTTTCTGTTTCATATCTTTTTTTTTTTAAATTTCATAACCTTTAAAATAAAGTAGCCATTGCCACTTGTATTAGAATTCATGCACTAGTGTTTGGGGTGGTAAGTGGGTATGGGGAATGGAAAGCATAATCACTAGCCTTTAATATGAAAAAAATTTATTTCAGGTTGCTACAATTTCTGCAAATGGAGATAAAGAAATTGGCACCATCATTTCAGATGCA